CTGTTATCACTGTGTCTTGCCTCGTGGGAACCCACCTATACTTCAACAGTGATGACCACCAAGTGGAATGGCTTTAAATAAGGGTTAGACCAGGCACCCCCAAACTCGGCCCTCCAGCTGTTTTGGGACTGCAACTCCCATAATCCCTGACCACTGGTCCTGTTAGCTAGGGATGATGGGAGTTGTAGTCCCAAAGCAGCTGGAGGGCCGAATTTGGGGATGCCTGGGTTAGACCAATCCATGGAGGACTGGTCAGTGGCTTGTGCCCAAAATAGCTGTGTTCTCCCTCTACTGTCAGAGACAGTATGCCTCTGAATGCCAGTTGCTGGACATCGCAAATGGGGACAGTGTTGTTCCACTTAGGTCCTGCTCATGGGAAGCACTGTGACAACAGGGTGCTGGAATAGATGGACCTTTGCCTGACCCAGCAAGACTCCCTTTATGTTCTTACATACTTATGATGAGTGGTTATGTAGGAGAACTTCCTAGTTGTTCTAGCAACCCAGTTGCTCTGTACCACGGTAGCTCATTTGTCTTCCTCTCGCCCCCACCACTCCTATCTGCTCCACATCAGGTGAATTACTGACCTGTGCATCTCCTCTAGGTGACACACTTGCCACATAACAGGCTAGGGATGGTTGAAGCCATCTCTTTTTAGCCCATTCCAGTTCCGCAAGTGTTTCCCTTTAAGTCTCATGGGCCTGTTTCTGTATGAAACAAAAAACAAACAAGCAAACAAAAACTGTGTGGAAATTTCAGTAAGCATTTAACTGATTTTTTTTTGGGGGGGGGACCTAATTTCTTCTGAAATATGCATTTCTAAACAAATTGCCTTTCAAAATATGCATTTGCAAATGTATTTTGATACCTTCTTGAGCAGAGGACTATGTTGGAACATTCAGGAGGAAGTGCAAACATTTGGAAGATAACTTGTGATGCACACATTGGTTATGCATTTGCTTACTTAAAGCATTATGCCTCTGAGTAGCAGTTTTTTGGGAATAATGGGGAACAGAGAGCTGTTGTGCTTATGTCCAGCTTTCAGGCTTCCCACAGCCATCTGGTTGTCCACTGTGAGAACAGGCCATTGGCCTGATCTAGAAGGCCCATCTTATGTTCTTATATACCGTTGTTCCTCAGAAAGATCAAGGAGAGGTTCAGATCAGGTGAGTTTTGCATTCATGAAGACTGAATTCCCCAAGCATTGTAAATACACAAGAAGATCCCTGCTGGATGAAACCAAAGGTCCATCTAGGTCAGTGTTTTGTTCTCCCCATCAAGACCTTGAGAGCATCCCTGCTTCAATGGCTTTGTGGCAAAGTTCAACAACTTCCGTGTTCTCAGGTTCTCAGGACAGTTGATGAGAAATCAGGCTTCGTACAAAGGTTGTCACCTTCTGACTGCAAAGGGTTTTCCAGCACAATCCAACACATGTCTAATCAGAAGCAAGTCATAGCAATTACGTACAGAATTGCAGCCTTAGTTCCCAAGCTGATGTGTTTGGCCACACCCCAAGCATGAGAAGCAAAAACTCGAATAAAGTTGGTTGAAGTTACAGTAGGAGAATGCCTGCAATCAGTGGCATGTCGTGGGGTAGGGGGACAGGGGCAGCTTCAATACAGCTGTGCACTTCTGTTGCTGGGCTCCATCGAAAATGACTACTCCATGCGAACTAGGAAGTCACTTATCCAGGCAACAGAATGACTCTTCTTTTCTTATCTCTGTGGCTGCAATCTCCTGGGTGACGTGGATGCCATGAGTGAACTGAATGTGCATGTATACTTCTGTAGGAGTGCAAATATCCAGAGTGTGGGGTCAGGTGGGATTACTATGAGGAATTATAAAATATGCTTCAAGCCATTGTGTCCACGATGAATGCATTGTTGACTGGGTTTGATACATTGACAATAATTTCTGATCAAATCCCACAACCCTCTGCATCTCTGGCCATTTCCTCTACTGTCCATTTCTCTTGCTTGACAAGTCACGTACACAGCCCAGCTGCCAGTTTGCTTGCCAGGAAGGCATCCTGGCCCATAAAGATAGTGGGCAAGTTTCTTTGATGTAGCTTTTCTGATATGTTAATTTTAGCATGTTAATCTTAGGGCCAGGAAACAGGTCTCACCTGAAGGTGATAATGATCGCTGTCTTCCTGGCCATCCTTCTTATCATGTATATTGCTTGTTTATCACCTCTCGGGGTTGCCAAATGCACTCCTTTGTAGTTCTGTTTTATTTACCCCATGCGTAATTAGTTTTGGTAGTTTAACTTTGTCCCCATGTGGGGTTTGTTGAAATGCTCAGAAGAAATCTGATTGGTTCTTAGAACACTCTGTAAAAAGTTCTTTTGTGAATAAAACGACCTGGGCTGAGGGGTAGAGGCAGAGATTATTATACGCACCCTTCCCAGAGTCTTGCTGGTTCAAGCCTCTGTGTGTATTCTTATTAATCAGAGTTCAATCCTTCCTTTACTTTGGAAACGCCTCATACTTCTTCTGTTTCCCACCCTCCCACACACCCACCTCTGCGTGGCCCCGGGCACTTGCAACCCATACTATGCCACTGTCTGCATTTTGTTATAACTCAAAAACATTCTCTTTATGAGTGCAACATCATCAGATTTTAGAAACAGGACCACAATATGAAAAGGTGTTCACATTTCAACATATTTGCACCAGTGTTTAAACTCCTGGACAACTTGGGGCTCAGATATCTGTAAGACCTCCTCCTTCCCTACAGACCCTCTCAGTTGCTAAGACCAGCAGAAGGGGTCTTCTTGGTGTTTTTGACACCCTCAGATTTGAGGTGATGGAGGTTGGCAGAGGGCCTTACCCGTGGGAGCCCCTAAGTTGCAGGATTCCCCTCGCATAGAGGCTCGTCTGGCATCTTCATTAAATACTTTCGGTTGCCAGCTGAAGATGCACCTTTTTACCCTGCCTTTGACATCTCTTTAGACAAGACTACCCAGATGTCTAAAAAGTTGGTTTGAGTTCAAATCTGTTTTAGTCTCTGGTTATCTTAACTTTTTGAAAGTCTTAAAGTATTATTGATAATTTTTCGTATACAGTGGTACCTCAGGTTACATACGCTTCAGCTTACAGACTCCGCTAACCCAGAAATAGTACCTTGGGTAAAGAACTTTGCTTCAGGATGAGAACAGAAATTGCACAGCGGCGGTGCAGTGGCAGCAGGAGGCCCCATTAGCTAAAGTGGTGCTTCAGGTTAAGAACAGTTTCAGGTTAAGAATGGACCTCCGGAACGCATTAAGTACTTAACCAGAGGTACCACTGTAAATAATTTCATTGATTCATCTTTCCTGTAAACTGCTTTGAGTTTCTTTCTTTCTTTCTTTCTTTCTTTCTTTCTTTCTTTCTTTCTTTCTTTTGCAATCAAGCCATGTATAAAGGTAAAGGTAAAGGGACCCCTGACCATTAGGTCCCATCGTGGACGACTCTGGGGTTGCGGCACTCATCTCGCTTTATTGGCCGAGGGAGCTGGCATACAGTTTCCGGGTCATGTGGCCAGCATGACTAAGCCGCTTCTAGCGAACCAGAGCAGCACACAGAAACGCTGTTTACCTTCCTGCCGGAGCAGTACCTATTTATCTACTTGCACTTTGACGTGCTTTCGAACTGCTAGGTGGGCAGGAGCAGGGACTGAGCAACGGGAGCTCACCCCATCACGGGGATTCGAACCACCGACCTTCTGATTGGCAAGCCCTAGGCTCTGTGGTTTAATCCACAGTGCCACCCGCATCCCTCAAGCTATGTATACATTTTATTAAATAAATAAATGCATATTTCAGGGTTAGTGCCCAAAAACAGTCTGTTCACAGGCTAGTGAGCAGGGTACATGACCCTCTGGATGACTTCCAAGTCTACAATTCTACGATTCTATGACGCTGGCGCAAGCTTATAGGCCTCTTTCGCACTCCTGCTGTTTGCTATTCTTCAAACAAGGCTCTCAGAAATGCAGGTGATTTTATTTTTTGAAGTTGATTGGCACCTGTTTGTTCATTGCTGAAATTGACTTGAACTTTAAAAAGAACAGGGTTGTGGTGGTGGGTTGTGATTTCCAAAGCAATATCGTGGCTGCTCGTACATGACCGAAGGGCGCGTCATACGTCATGTAAACACAACCTTTACGAAAGCAAATCACATCAGTCTGGCTGTTGGGAAATCAAAAATCTCACCACTTTGGGAAGGGTGGAGAGGAGAGGAAATAATACCTTGCGGGGCAACAAATCCACCGATTGTTTGGGACCCATTGGCTGAATTCGGAGCATGTTCCATCGTGAGGAAGCTCATAAGAAAAGCCAGCCAAATACCTTCAGGAAATCCATCAGCAGGATATGTAGCCAACAGCACGCATCTAATCCTTGGCCCATGGAATTCATCATTGTCTCCATTGACAGGCAATGGATCCCCAGATTGTCAGACAGGAATCTCTGCCCTACCTGGAGATGCTGGGGATTTGAACTCAGGACTTTCTGCATGCAAAGCAGCTGTTCTGCCACTGGGCTGTGGCCCATCTGGGCAGGCAATGTGTATTCAGCAGCACATGGCTCCTGAACCAGGATGAAATATTCAGCTATTATGTAGACGAAGAAAGCGTGTGCTCTTGTATGTGTTGCTTGGTTGCCTAGGCAACATGTCACTCCCACAGTACAACCCTAAAGCAGCAGGGAGAAGGTGTGTGTGTGTGTGTGTGTGTGTGTGTGTGTGTGTGTGTGTAGATAAAAGCCAATTTTAGAAGTCATGAGGAAAAGCAAACTAAGGTCACCCAATCAAACTGCTTGCCAGGAAGTTCAGGGTAAGAAAATCTTAACGCAATGAAGAATTAATTTACTGGATTCTTTTGCATGGGATGATGTGATGGCTCTTACATAGTTGTCTCTCCCCCCTCCCACCCCACCCCACTGAAAAAACAGATTGATAGAGCTGATAGGAAAGGGGTGGAAGAGAAACAGGTGTTTCCTAGGAAGAACTGTTCTTCGTCAAGGCCTGGATAGCTCAGTTGGTTGGAGCATGGTGCTGATAACACAGGGGTTGCAGGTTTGATCCCTGTATATTCAATCCCAGCAGCGTATTTCTGCATTGCAGGGGGTTAGACTAGATGATCCTCAGAGTCCCTTCTATGATTCTAAGACAGTCAAAACCATCAGGCCAGCAGTCTGAAAAACAGCAACTGTGTAGCAGGACCTCTACCACTGTCCTGGACATTGTTACCTGAATCGCTCACAGATTCTGAGCTGGGGAGGGGAATTCTTCCAGACAAGGGTTGCTCTCCAAGAATCTGTACAGGCATAACTGCATCATAGACTTGCTTTCTCTTCACCCCTCCACAGTCCATTTTCCTTGTGTGCCATGACTCTTAGATGTGGCTTGCCTTCCTACTGTGCTGTTGTTGCTTTAGTTGTCCTGGTTGTCCCTTTGGAATAGAGTTCCCCCAGAGGTTGACAGACTCTGAGTCCCATCAGCTCCAGACAGCATGATGGTAGTTGCAGTCCAACAACAACCTCAGAATGCCATATTGGCTACCCACCCTAAATAAATAGCCATAGTGGTTCAGAATGGAACTTACGTTTTCAGATATAGTGTGAATTAAATTGTCACACACTGGAGAAAGCCGCAACCTGCTTGTGAGCTTCCTAATAGCATCTGACTCTTGGTTGCTGGAGACCAGAATGCAGTGGTGTATATAGGAAGAAGATGCCTTAAACCAGGGCTGCCAACTTGAATAAAATATTGGGGGTGGGCCAGGTAAACCTGCATTGCATAATCAATCATATGATGCGGTACATGTGCACCATTTGAATGGCAATGCCCATCAAAGACCCCTTGGTCCCTAGGAGTTGGCTCCTATGCCTTAAACTGAGTCAGACCTTTTCCCCAGCTATCTCAATATTGTCTGTTCAAGACCTGCCAACACTGGCTGACAGTGGCTCTCCTGGGTTTCAGACATTCCTGCATTCCTCATGCTGCCTGGGAATGCTGATGATTGAACTTAGCACCTTCTGCATGCAAAGCAGATGTTCTACCCCTGAGCTATGACCCTTCTTCCAGAATGCCTAGGAAGCTGCCTTATCCAGATCTAGCTTTTGCCCTGCTCTCTTTCCAGGCAGAGGTCCAGGCATGGAGCTTTAATGCTCCATGTATAAGATTTTTGTTTTGTTTTGTTTGCCCCAAGCTTTTCCCATGAAAACTCGCTCATTAAAGCTGAATTGGAGCAAACATCAATTTGGATTGTCAGTGCTTGCTCCAATTGAGCTTTAAAGAGCTGGTTTTTGTGGGGAAAGCTTTGGAGCAAAAAGAAAAGGCACCCAGACACAGAGATCATCAGGCAGCTATTGGTTGCCATCTTGAATCCCCCACAATGCCCTGGATGTAGCATCACACGAGGCATTGTGGGGGACTGAAATCACCGACTCACAGATCTAGACCAGGCTTCCTCAACCTCAGCCTTCCAGATGTTTTGAGACTGCAATTCCCATCATCCCTGACCACCGGTCCTGCTAGCTAGGGGTCATAGAAGTTGTAGACCAAAAACATCTGGAGGGCCAAGGTTAAGGAAGCCTGATCTACTCTGCCTGGAAGCTGAGGACCACTCCCAGACCTAATGGAGACACCAGAGATTGAACGTGGGGCCTTCTGCATTCAGAGCAGATGTTCTGCCACAGAGCTATGGTCCAAAATCCTTTCCCCAGATATTCCAACCTTCAGAATGTTTTCTGCTGATTGTAACCTGACCTCTTTGGACTTTCCTCTCACCAGTTCTGCTTCACAACCTCCCTGGCTATTTTTGCCTGCCTGGAACTTGCCGTCGAACTTCAATCTTGCCTCTTCCTTGTCTGGATGGTGAACATGGGAAAGGTGTGCATAGAAACTAGTTTACGGTACAAAAGTAGCATTTACAGTCGTTGCTCTGCCCACGTTTGACTCTAGCCCATCATCGCATGTGGTCCTCAGGCTGAGAAAGTGTGTTCTCCCTCAGGGCTGACAAGACACCTCACTGTTACTAGGCAAATGGTTTGGCCATCCTTTAAGCAGGGGCGGGCTGTTACTGGGGAAATCTAGATGTTGCCATTTGTTGATTGACAGCCCTATTTGTTAAATACAATGCTCGCAGTGAGGAACTTCCTCTTTTCGCTGTGTGCTTCGGATCACCCGCCCTCCCTTCCCTAATGTTAGGCTGTTCGCTTGACCTTGCTATGCCTGTCATGGGGTCGTCTGCTTTGGGGCAGGGGCCTGGTAGGAATTTTGTCCATTTGGCTGATTAGTGTGTGCCACTTGGTTTTTGCCTACTGCGTAGCAAATCGTCACAACTTGTAAGGTTTGCGGTTAGGCATTGGTCTTGGAATTGGTTGGTGGAGGGGTCTGGATTCGGCTGTGCCTGCCCCTCCAAAATGCTGCTGCTGCTTCAAGGGTTTTCTGTTAAAGGAACCCAGGGGCTCCCCATGCTTTTGTCCAAAACCCCCTGGCAAGGGACTAGGGCCACGCAAGCCCCTGGGAACATTCTGGGGAGAGGTGAGGCATGGTTCCCAGTCCCGTCTCTCTCCCCAGGTGACTTACCCTTCCTGACTTCGCGGGGGGTGCGAATGTCAGAGCTGTCCCTGTGCGGGGTCAGTTAGTGCTACCAATGCCTAAGGAACCACTCACATTGCTGTAATTTGAATAAAGTTGTGGCCAAAATTATGCCAAAAACCTTAAACAAAAATTAAGTGTCAATTGTGTTTTTTTTGGGGGGGGTGTCTTGGGGACCTCGGCGCGCAAATGTTCTCCATCCCTGCAGTAAAGTTTATCTCCTGCCATGCATTTCTCCTTGACATGTATTTGCACTCTCTGGCTAAGATGTTGAAATGTGTTTTTGGGTCTGTGTATTTTTTGGCAGAATCTCCTTGTAAAGAGATAATTTATTGGAGCACAAGAAATGCAACTTTTTTAGGAAAAGAAAAATTACAAACTACTGGGTACAGGTGCAGATACAATAGATGACAGCAAAGACGTGTGAATTTGCTGCTCCAAAGGCAGAGCGGAGAGAATGAGCTGTCAGGCTCCGCGGCATAAAGACAACTGGCAATTAGTACAATAGACTAGGTGATTGCCTGCTACCCCATTGTTTGACGTTGCTCTTTGTGGTTTAGTTCAGTGTGTACTTGAAGGTTAAATCAAATAATAACACGGGAAGGGAGAACAACAAGCGGTGCTGGAGAGATAGAGGCAGGAGAGGGCAGTTGCTAAATAAAACAGCTGCCTGCTGAATAGCTACTTGTGGCGGATGATGGAAAAATTGGCTTTGACACCTCAAGAACTCGTGTCCACGACAAGGAAGGATGGTAGGTCAGTGGCAAAGTGCCTGCTTTTCTTGGGGAGGGTTGCAGGTTCAATCCCCGCATCTCCAGGTCGGGGTGGAAATGTCCCTTGTTCGAAACTCTAGAGAGCTACAGTTGCGTGGCGAGACCCCTCCCCCATGTGAAAAGAAGACACTGGACACGTTATATAAGGTTAATGGGCATAAAAAGGCCACAACTTTATTGATTACCTTTACCTTTATACTGCTTCTTACCAGTTTTCTGGTCAGGCTGACTCTTACGTACATGACACTAGAATTGTAGAGTTGGGAGGGACCTTGTCCAACCCTAGTCCAACCCCCTGCAAGGCAGAAATATACAGCTGTCCCACATGGGGATTGAACCTGCAGCTTTGGCATTATTAGCACCATACTCTAAACAACTTAGCTATGGTTTTGCAGAATTTCTACCTCAACAGCCAGTCAGTGTAGACCAGTATTCTTCAACCGTGGGTCACCAGATGTTGTTGGATTACAGTCATGAGCTAAGCTGTCTGGGGGGTTATGGGAGTTGTAGTTGTAGTCTGGGAACTCAGTGTTGAAGAACAGCATACACAGTGTAGAACAATGCTAGATGGTCTGACTCAGGGTTTATCCACACTTTCATCTGCTCTTTCCAGGCACAGCCCATGATTTAAATCTCTATGTCTGGGTGCCTTTTCTTTTTGCTCCAAAGCTTTCCCCACAAAAACCAGCTCTTTAAAGCTCAATTGGAGCAAGCACTGACAATCCAAATTGATGTTTGCTCCAATTCAGCTTTAATGAGCGAGTTTTCATGGGAAAAGCTTGGGGCAAACAAATCTTATACATGGAGCATTAAAGCTCCATGCCTGGACCTCTGCCTGGAAAGAGAGCAGGGCAAAAGCTAGATCTGGATAAGGCAGCTTCCTAGGCATTCTGGAAGAAGGGTCATAGCTCAGGGGTAGAACATCTGCTTTGCATGCAGAAGGTGCTAAGTTCAATCATCAGCATTCCCAGGCAGCATGAGGAATGCAGCCTGTCTGAAACCCAGGAGAGCCACTGTCAGCCAGTGTTGGCAGGCCTGAGCAAGATGGACCAGTGCTCTTCTTCAGCCTAAGTCAGCTTCCTGTGTAAGCAGTGAAAAGTGAACTGGAGCTTCATTCTGACCTAGATCAGACTATTTCTGGTCCAGGTCACTTTTGCTCATCTTCATCCCAAAATCTGTTCCCAGTCCTGAACTAATCTGAAATAGTTCGGGTTTCTTTAAAAAAACCTGCATGGGAATTTGTATTTAAATACAGTGGTACCTCAGGTTAAGTACTTAATTCGTTCCGGCGGTCCTCCTGCTGCTGCTGCGCTGCCGGAGCATGATTTCTGTTCTCATCCTGAAGCAAAGTTCTTGACCTGAAGCACTATTTCTGGGTTAGCGGAGTCTGTAACCTGAAGCGTATGTAACCTGAAGCGTATGTAACCTGAAGCGTATGTAACCTGAAACGTATGTAACCTGAGGTACCACTGTACATAACTTACAGTGTTGGGAGCTAGTCTGAAGTCTGCCTTTTAAAAATGGGGTATCCATCAGTTTGCAGGGGGGAGGTCTTTGGATGCAGAAGGTCCCAGTTTCAGTATTCAGCCAGGGCTTGGAATGTCCCTGCCTGAATTCTGGAGAGCAGCTGCCAATCAATGTTGTTAATATTGGGCTATATGGGCCAAGGGTAAGGCAGCCTCCTATTTTCCTATGGCAGATCGTCATGTTCCCATCATGTTCAATTTGCAGGCCCAATCTGAATGCACATGCAACAGTCAAAGCTGAAGCCAGGCTTTTAGCCGCTTGGAGTGAGTGTTATCTGCAAAACAAGATAGTTGGGGTTGGGTTTTTTTAAGGCAGCGTTTGGGAAACTGCCTTGCAACATGTAGGGAGTTGCAAAATCCAACGAATAACTCTATTCCAATCTGTGTGTTAGACTGGGAGGTGTGGGTCAGGTCAGTTCAATTTGGAATACACAAAGATTGCATTAGTCAAGCTTTCATCTTGGAGGTCCTGCCAACATTCTCCCACTTAAAATTTCTCCCTGCAGTTTTAGAGCTCCAAATTACCAGTTAGGAATGCTGCATTGATTGCCCTGTTCTTTCAGTTCTGAACGTTGTACAGAGCACTGAGCATGTTTAATTTCCTACGCAGCTTTCTGTTCCTGCAGTTAATTTGCATCACACACACACGTACCACACACTACTGATGTGCATGTGGGCCTTAATAAAATACCACACACAGACACACACACACACACACAGAGAGAGAGAGAGAGAGAGAGAGAGAGAGAGAGAACGAGAACTTCGATGTCCATTAATGTGTGCAAAAGCCCAGCATCTTATTTTCACACTGGCCATGCAGATATCAGCGGGAAACCTGGAGGACCCAAATGCTATAGCACTCTCCTCTCCTGCAGTTTCCAGCAACTGGTGTTCAGAAGCATTACTGTCTCCTCCCATAGAGATAGAGACAGTGGAGTGCAACCCTCCACCTTTTCAGTTCTGTGCTCAGGTGGCCTGTGCAATTTTGAAGATTTCATATTCCTGCTTTAGCATTTCTCTAGAGTTCCTGTGGCTGCAGGGTTGAGTTCACCTTATCGTTATGAGGTGGCTGTGATGTGTGTAGCCCTGAGTGGTCCATATGCATGTTTTTATTTCCACGAAGCATTTATCAAGCACACTGGAGCCTCCTCAGCTGCCGACACTTCCTGATACGGAAGGCGGGGAGCGAAAGCATGAAAGGAATGACTTGATGACATTATCCCCTCAATGATGTCCAAAGGATGTTGGGAGTCTGGCTACCAAGGGCCTGAGATCAGTTCACTTGCTGGTTTTACTTTAAAAGAAATTACTTCCATAGATATTTTCACAAATTTATTTATAGGTTTCATTAAAACAGCAACTGCCAAGTGTATGGTTAGCAGTTTCAGGAAGCTTTTAATATCTGAAGGACTATTTTATTTTAATATTTTGTTGGATGCTGCCCAGAGTGGCTGGGGAAACTCAGCCAGATGTGTGGGGTATAAATAATAAATACATTATTATTATTATTATTATTATTATTATTATTATTATTATTGGAATTCTAATCTTCCCTCACTGAACCCCGGCTGAGGATGCCATCAACTTGGCGAGAGGCCCAAGCACCCAGGAAGGCTGCAAAATGCAAACCATGGGACAAATGAAGTGTCAAATGAAGGAAAAGGCACTGCCAAACACTCTGTTGCAACAAAATCCCCACCAATGAGGTAATACCAGGAGTACCCAATCAGAAGATCTCATTGATTGAGATAGAGCAGAAGGAACCAGTCCTTATGATGCTTTGGGCCCCAGTTGTTTAGGTCTACCTGGTCATGCAGGAACAATCTAGTGCAGCCTCAGGGCTCACTTCCAGTGCCAATCAGCTGATCAGTGTTTAAAGCGAACTCTTTTGAAAGTACACTTTCAGCATCAATCAGCTGACTGGCACTGCGAGTGCAGCTTCAAAGGATTTCCCTGTGAGCACCACTTTGTTTACAGGCAGAGTTTGGATTCAAACTACACCTGCAAATGGACCTTTCCCCTCTAAACATAGCAGAGAGAGGGATGTTGGGATCCACAGAATGCTGTGTGAGATAGTAAGTCTGCAGGCTTGAGTTTGCTAGCTGACACAACTGGCTGATGCAATCAGCCTGCAATACTTTCTTATGGAGGTGCTGGGTCAGAATGATTCTGCAGTAATGTGCTGACAGTTGATTGGCTGTCATTGGTTTAAAAGGGAAACCTGTCCAGCAGTAAGGGTGGTGGTGTAGAGGAGTGTGGTCAGAGAGAGAGTGTGCTCCTATTTGCCTTAAGGTGCAGCCAGGTACTCTGTTTGACTGTATGGACTGCTTCTGTATTATAGCCTGTAGATATTTGTATACAGTGGTACCTCAGGTTAAGAACGTAATTCGTTCTGGAGGTCTGTTCTTAACCTGAATCTGTTCTTAACCTGAAGCACTACTTTAGCTAATGAGACCCCTTACTGCTGCTGCGCCACTGCTGCACAATTTCTGTTCTCATCCTGAAGCAAAGTTCTTAACCCGAGGTACTATTTCTGGGTTAGTGGAGTCTGTAACCTGAAGCGTATGTAACCTGAAGTGTATGTAACCTGAGGTACCACTGTATATAGCTCACAATAAATATACTGCACTGAAGAACCTGGAACTCTGAGCATTTCTGCTAAAGCGACTCGAAGAATTAACGACAAGGGCCTCTTTGAAGTTGTCACTTGGAGACATAATGCTGTCCGCTGACTGATAGGTGTGTGGCCTTACCCACCAGTCAAACTGGCCCATAGGAGTGGGAGACTGGGATCTAGGCTGCCAGCTGGAAAATATTGCCCACACATTTATTACAGAGAAAACGTGTTTGTGTGCAATTTATGTGTGCATGTGTGAGAGAGGAATAAATTCTACAAGTTTATTGCAAGATTCATATTGGTCTTAATACCAGCATCCTGGCCACGTTCCTGCATGCATCAGCAGAGAGGGGAATGGTCAGGAACAATTTTCTCTCCTTGACTTTGCAGAATCTGCCCATGTGAACCTTTGTCCTTAGCTGTGCTGCAAATTAACATGTTGGGCGATGAATTACAACAGGCAGCCAGCTAGTAAAAATGAAGAGTGATTTAACTAAGTCATTTATCGATCCCTATGTTTGTTAAAGTGGATTTCAGGGTGCAAAATACTAACTCAACTAAATCAATATGCTCTCTTTCACCGCGGAGTTTGTCTTTTAAGATTATGCAGCTGCTTGGAAGATTGGAGTTCAATCTTGAGGCACGCTCCTGGTGGATGCTGCCTTAGTTAAAGGTGCAAAATTAATGCCGGGCAATCGTAGCAGGCAAGAATCCAAGCTAGCTGTGATATGTGCAAATCCTTTGCCGCAAATTCATGAGGATCACTGCAAGATGTCAAAGCACCGCCAGAGATATCAGGGGGAGAGGCTGCTGCTATTTCTGACAAGGACGGGCCATATGGAAACATTTGGTTCAGTACAAAAGATGCAAGACTTAAGCTGATGAATTTGCAGAAAGGCAAGGTGTTGTTTTCACTCCCTTTTCTGCTTTGCCAGCACTGCAAGGTCCAATGTACTGCATAAAGGGTAAAGGTAAAGGGACCCCTGACCATTAGATCCAGTCGTGGCCGACTCTGGGGTTGCGGTGCACATCTCGCTTTATTGGCCGAGGGAGCCGGCATACAGCTTCCGGGTCATGTGGCCAGCATGACTAAGCCACTTCTGGCGAACCAGAGCAGCGCCGGAAACGCCGTTTACCTTCCCACTGGAGCGGTACCTATTTATCTACTTGCACTTTGATGTGCTTTCGAACTGCTAGGTTGGCAGGAGCTGGGACGGAGCAATGGGAGCTTACCCCGTCGCGGGGAGTCGAACCGCCGAACTTCTGATCGGCAAGTCCTAGGCTCTGTGGTTTAACCCACAGCGCCACCCGCGTCCATGTACTGCATAACTCTGTGTTAAATCTTGTAGTTGACAAACTGTGTACGAGGAGGACTCTAGAGACATCCAGGTAAAATCTCTGTTCCATCACCCTTCTTCAGGTCAGTCCAAGTACACTGATGAACAGGCAACGTAGCGCTCAACAATTTGGTCAGCTACCAGGGGCTGAGCACAATGTGTATTCATCCAGGGAGACTCCATTCTAAGGTTTTTCTGCCTCCGCCACTCTGCTGCACATGCCCTCAAATGCCATCTCCACCATTCATCTCCATCCTCAAGTAAAACATGAGCAAGGTGGGAAATCAAAAGCTGGATTCTAGGCATTTCTGTCAAGAAAAAACTGTAGCTCGAGAAAAGCACCCCACGAGCCATTAATAAATGCCTTTTCCCGGCCATGCGGAAGAGTTGAAGCAGGTCCGCGAGGCGTCGTTCAGAGCTCACTGACACAATTAAAACTCTGTATGAAAAGTTAATTGTGGAACTAAATATAAGCTGCAAGATAAGTAGCTACAAGATTTTTTGGAGGGGGGTGGAGGAAAAAAAGGAGAAAGGGAGAGCAGGAGACAGAAAGAGAGTTGCAAATAACATGCTGTTTGCCGTGTTATTGTTACTATTCAATAAGGCAGAAAAAGCAACTGCTGCAAGCCGTTGAGCTGACAGCCTAGTCATTTAAAACTACAGGTTGTCTCGGGGATGACAATGGTTCTTGGAGCAAAGCGCAGCCCATGCAGTTTCCAAGATGCTAGAGTAGAGAAATATTTTAACTCTTTCGTTGACCAGGCTTCTCCTTTAATTGCATATGGGTCCCCCCCCCATTCCTTTAAATCCGTGTTTCAAAATTAAAGTCGGCAAGGCCTTTGTGGGAATTTCACACCGTGACTAACAAATGCACGGTGTGACTAACGAACACGGGCCCAAGCAGCTTCACAAATCACTTGCATTTCTGAGTATTGCAGGTTCTATTTAGATTAAGCCAGAGGCGGGGAAGCCCTTGCAATTTCCAGCTTGGATTGGCTTTGGGATGAGGGGAGCCTGAGCTCTTCCCACCTAAAATGAGAAATCATGCCATTTGTTTCAAAGTCAATAATAATAATGATCATAATTTATTATTTGTACCCCACCCATCTGTCTGGGTTTCCCCAGCCACTCTGGGCGGCTTCCAACAAAGATTTAAAATACATTAAAATATCACACATTAAAAACTTCCTTAAACAGGGTTGCCTTCAGATGCATCGCTGTCAACTTTCAGATTTTAAAATAAGGGATCAGCAGCCTCACTTGTCCCAGGGACAGTCTACGGGATATCTAACAATCCAGGATAGCAGCGGGAAATGGCGCCGGAATAAGGGAATTTCCCGCAAAAAAAGGGAAGGTTGGCAGCTATGTTCAGATGTCTTCTAAATGTCAGGTAGTTGTTTATCTCTTTGACATCTAATGGGAAGGTGTTCCACAGGGCAGGTGCCACTACCGAGAAGGCCCTCTGCCTGGTTCCCTGTAGCTTTGCTTCTCACAGTGAGGGAACTGCTAGAAGGCCCTCACGCTGGACCTCAGTGTCTGGGCTGAACAATGGGGGTGGAGACGCTCCTTCAGGTATACTGGGCCAAGGCCGTTTAGGGCTTTAAAGGTCAGCACCAACACTTTGAATTGTGCTTGGAAACGTACTGGGAGCCAAATCAGTTTCAGTGTGGTTCATCCCTGTCCCTGTGAGTTCTTACCACAGGGGCAGAAGCATCATCTCTCCCTCCACTTCTCACTGCTAGCCACCCTGATGGTATTTTAGTGGCGGGTGGGTGGCAGAGGTGCCATCTTCCGATTTAGGGAACCAAACACCATATCCTGGCATCGCTTCACGCCCTGCTCCACAATGGGAGGGGCTGGCCTCCTCAAAGGAAAGATTGAGGGGGCCCAAAGACCCTCAGCCCTCTGGAGCCTCCACCCAAGGTGGGTGGCATGCTCACTTTTGAATGGGAGACCCAAATAATGGCTGCTTGCCGTCTCAATTTACCCCCAAAATGTAATATCTTGGCATTTCATAGATATCATCCACCAAGGATGGAAGCGGAGCTTACTTTCAAAAGCACCCACCACTAATTAGAAGAAGAGGAGGAGGAGTTTGGATTTGATATCCTGCTTTATCACTACCCGAAGGAGTCTCAACGCGGCTAACATTCTTCTTTTCCTTCCTCCCCCACAACAAACACTCTGAGAGGTGAGTGAGGCTGAGAGACTTCAGAGAAGTGTGACTGGCCCAAGGTCACCCAGCAGCTGCAGGTGGAGGAGCAGAGATGCAAATCTGGTTCACCAGATTATGAGCCTGCTGCTCTTAACCACGACACCACACGGTGGAAGCTATCAGAGAGGGCAGGGAGTGGCGGAATGACTGACTGAAGCCAACAAGGGTTATTTCTGAGCTTCTGGGGCCTTCATCCAGACCCAGCTGACTGCAGATACCAAACTAGTCTCAGCTGGCCAGTTCCAAGCAGTTCCAATAGCAGTTCCAAGCCGGGCCTGCTAAAGACATTTTGCTGCCTGAGGCAAAGGACAAGATGGCGTCGCCGCCCAAGGCATATACAGAAGCCAGGTGGACTGGTAGTTGAATCTTACTCCAATACTGGCGAAAGGACTGTGTCTTCTACTGCTCTTGAGGGCAGCAGACTAGTTTAGGGGGTATGCAGCCGGACACATAGCACTCACAGCTCTGCCCTTTCCCTGCACCTCAGCTTCTGCCACCCAAGGCAGCTACCTCATTCTGCCGCATCATAGGGACAGCCCTCATTCCAGCTCATCCTAGCTTCAGTGCAGATTTGTACTCTCCCGGGCAGAGGGGACTGGCACAGCTTGCACTCGCTTCCCATACTATCATGAAATGGTAGGCTCAGAATCTGAAATCCAAGCTTCAGGAACGCATTAGAAGCAGTTGACTATATCCCTCCCCGTTAATCTAGAGACAACGATGCCAGTCTCTTACTAAAAACGGGTCCGCACTTTAATGCTACACCTTTCCGTTCGTCAAATAATCCTCCTTTGAAATACCATGGAAACAAGCAAATATGCCTCATTAAACTTTCCTTGCAGGGAGGAATAAAAAGAAATATCTGAGAATTAGAATATATATATATATATATATATATATATATATATATATATATATAGTGGAGGAGGCGAGAATAATTCATTTGTTCAAAGAATAATTAGATTGTTCCTGTTAATTTTCCTAGGTGATGTGGAATTATTGGCTGGGAATAAAATCCCCAGACTCCTCTCATCTCTATTTACAGTATGTGGCTTAAAATACACTGTTTATTCTAACCATGCCCATCAGAGGCAAAAACTGAGTCACAGCTTGTGATAGGGTTGCCGTATCTTGAAGAGCAAAAAAGAGGACAGCTTGAGCTGCTGCCATCCCCAGCTGGGCAAAGAGGCGCATGGGCACAGGCGCATGGGGCCACCGCTGTGCCAGTGTGCCTCTTACCCTGGCTTGGACTGGCAGTGGCTGTGGCGTGCAGACCAGCCCCCCCCAAAAAAACCCCAAACTCAAACCCAAGGATATTTCTTTGAAATTGTAAAAATCTGCCCAGGTGGGCATGTTGTCCTCCCAAAAGAGGACATGTCCGGGTCACTCCCCAGTTATCTTTACCAGGACTACCTGTCATAAGCCTTTTTTTGTGGGGTGTACAGTCAATTACAACATGCTTTACTTCCTAGAGTGGGCAGAGACAGGGGGATATGTAATTTATTGTTGCTCTTGTAAATGACTTGGCAGATGAGTGTGACTCTATAAAAAGCAGAGTCACACAGCTGTTTTGCTTGATTTCAGCTCTGTTTGATTCAGTTCAGTCAAGTCTCTGGCTCTCAGCACTTAGGCCCATCCTCGCAAAGGATGTGAGCCACGTTATACTGTATGTTTGTCCGGCCTCCCACAAGGCCTGAGGGACTGGCCCCCTGCTGAAAAAGTTTGCTGACCCATGATTCTACTCCAACCTCTTGCAATGCAGGAATAGGCTGCTGTCCCATATGGGGTTTGAACCTGCAACCTTGGCCATTACCAGCAACACACTCTAACCAACTCAGCTATCCACACGGCACAGAATTGTTCTCATACCAGGAGTCGAACCTGGGCTGCCTGGGTAAAAACTAGGAATCCTAACTGCTAGTCCATATGGGTTTTTGTTTGTTTGTTTGTTGTATTTATTTCTAGTGTTAATTTATTATTTATGTTAAGTTGTGGGTGAACATATCAGACGACATAGTGATTCTTCAAACAGCTCTTCTTTATTCAGAGGCCAGAACAGAACTGAACTGAAGGCCTAAGTCAGCTTGCTTATATAGAGCTCCAGTACAACGTTACTGTAGCAACTTTCTAAAACTATCCAATCACTGAACGTCACTTTCGATCCTTCATTTGCATAACTATCTACAGTATCCCCCTGCTGGCCCAGGGTGAGAACTTCAGTACATAACAATTTATTTATGGCATTCATAGCTCACATCTCCTCTGCGGTAGTCATGGTACCATACGTGATTCTCATCCTAGACATGGGCAAATCTGACAATTTATCTCTGTTTCTCATTTTTCCAGTCTGAAATTCACTTCTCCACAATAGTTTGCTACTTTAAAAAAAACAAACAAACCCATTTCAGTGCCAATTTCTACTAATGCACGTATTATTCTATGCATCACTGCCTAATGCCCACATTTTTGCAAAGCATTTTGCCCTCATATAATGTTATTTCTTGTTCCCTGTGTTATTTTTTCTCAGTGCCCAAATTCACAGAGGGTGAATTAAAAAAAAAATGGTGAAAGTGGGGTCTCTTTTGCTCCCTGCTTACCCCAGAGATTTCTTTGTCAGTGTGGTTTAAATAGCCATCTTTTGATATTGCCGTTCCACTTCTTTGTAAGCCAAACTAATACATATATTTACATGCAACTAAATATAGTGTCTGGTGCAATGATTTTGTGGTTCTACTGTATATTCTTCTCACGAGTGCACATTACAGAACATTGTGTTTTGCTGTCTCCGAAACCAGGTTTTCTTGTTGGCTTAACCTTTATCTAATGGTGAGATTTGTCAAGAATTGAAGTCTTGATACTCTTTGTGTCTCCCGCAACCAGTTCATGCTTTTTTTGTAGTTAACATCTTTCTTTCCTAATTGTCCGGCCTTCAGAGCCATTTGTGACAGCTACAGATTTACACAGAAAGAGAAAGAGAATGAAACGTTTCAATCTGAAATTAAATTAGCGTTCGGTGCCAAGCATTGGGCACCCTGCTTTGCTGCATAAATCAACTTCACATTAATAGGGATCATGTTCGCCCCATAAGCAGGTTGTTCCATAATCTTCCTCAGCATTCATTTCTGTAACGCCGTATAACAGAAAGAGCCACAGTAGGCTATTCATTAGAAGCTTTTAATTTCCCCAGCCTTCCTCCAATCTGCAGCATCAAGCCGTTAGAACAAGCAAAACGAGCAACGGTCATAAAATGGTAACAAACTGGTCCATCTCAGTTTCACTCCATTTTGCCTTCTTTCCTAGTCTTAAATTGCACTTCACACATCGGTCCTCATAATAATCTGTCAGCATTTTTGTATGAATTGCTCACTTTTGCAAGGAAATTCCCCTAATATAGTGTGTTTTTTGTCTGTCAAATTCATTAACACGCATTTCATGCACAGCTTCCTCGTGTGTGTGTGTGTGTGTGTGTGTGTGTGTGTGTGTGTCAGTCACACACACCTATTTTGGTCCAGAAACTGGTCACAAAATGTGGAGAAGTGTAGATGTTGACATGTCCACATAATTTAAGAAGGATGTTGACAAGCTAGAAGGTTTGCAGTGGAGGGCGACCAAGATGATCAAGGTCTTGAAACTGAGCCTTGCAAGGAACAGTTGAGGGACCTGGGTTTGTTTAGTCTAAAAAAGAGGAGCTTGTGAGGAGATATGATAGCTGTCAGGGGACTGCCTTCAGAACAGGGGAGGGAGGCAGGGGGGCCGCAGGGATACAGAGAGCCTCCGAAACTGCTGAGAGCCCCAGCGCCTCACCTAGCCAGTCTGGCCAGGAGGGACGTACGCCACTTCTGTCGCCCAGCTTGCCCAGAGGGGTGGAACGCAAGGAGGGGAGGAGAATCCTTGGGGTGCCAAAGTTCTTATGTTGGGGGAGAAGCCGGAAGGGGCCACTCCTGGATTCTGCAAGCGACTGAGGCGGACATGAACTTGGTAGATCTGCACTGTAAATAGTTTGCACAATAAAACCTGTAAAAGCCAGGTTGGAGTCCTGCCTGGTTACTCACGAGCAACCACCACCAGCATCTGACAATAGCCACCTTTGAGAATCTCAAGAGCTGCCATATGGAAGATGGTGCAAGCTTGTCTTCTCCTGTTCTGGAGGGCAGGACACAGACCAAAGGCTTTGAGTTACAAAAAAAGAGATTCTGCTGTTTGACAGTGGAATGGACTCCCACAAGGAGTGGTGGACTATCCTTCCTTGAAGGTTCTTAAGCAAAGGTTCTCTATTTATCCCCATCTCCTGATGTCATCGCCAGAGGCCATCCCTAGGACCCAGGTTTGAACCCTGAAGTCTCAGGGTCTGGGGTGCTCCTGACCTGGCAACCCTAACCCCCAGTATCTACCACTTCATTCTGCCTAATATCTTTGAGGTCTTTTGCTTCTCAAGGCCCTTTTTCATCTGATAGGAGACTGCACATCTCTATCTTTTCATCCTTTTTTTTAAAAAAAAAGCATCAAGAGAGATTAATCACCCAGCAATTAACCTATGTAACTTAACTTATCTTTTATTTCTTAAGACAAAATTTGGTGGGTTTTTCCTTAAATACATTTTTTAAAAAATCCTATTCGGTGTGCATTTTAAAAAAAATGGAGAGAAAGGAAAGCTAACACTTCGCTCTAAGCTTTGATAGACCTTGCAGAACTTTGTTCATTATCAGCTAAGCATGCTCACTAATTAGCATTTCTGTATTTAGAAGCAGAATCCATGTTACCTTAACACTTTGTGGTGATGGTCGCCTAGCAACAAAGCTTCCTCTGTAGATGACCCTCCATTTCAAAGGGGTCTTTTCTCAACACACTACCTGAAATGTAATAAAACCTTTATAGATTTATATGTAAAAGAAAAATGGAATCATAGAACTCAGGAGTTGAAAAAGGATCTCATCCAGCCCCTTATTTAACGCAACTACAGCATCATGCACCGATTGCTGCTTCAAGTGAAGGAACAGGTGAAACTCGAAAAATTAGAATATCGTGGAAAAGTTCATTTATTTCAGTCATTCAACTTAAAAGGTGAAACAAATATATGAGATAGACTCATGACATGCAAAGCGAGATATGTCAAGCCTTTATTTGTTATAATTGTGATGATTATGGTGTACAGCTGATGAAAACCCCAAATTAACAATCTCATCATCATTTATTTATTTATTTTGAAAATTAGAATATCGTGAAAAGGTGCAGTAGCTATTCAATCCATAACACCTGCAATGTGTTCCTGAGCCTTTAAATGGTCTCTCAGTCTGGTTCAGTAGGAAGCACCATCATGGGGAAGGCTGCTGACCTGACAGTTGTGCAGAAAGCCATCATTGAGACTCTCCATAAGGAGGGAAAGCCTCAAAAGGTAATTGCAGAAGAAGTTGGATGTTCCCAAAGTGCTGTATCGAAGCACATTAATGGAAAGTTATGCAGAAGGGGAAAGTGTGGAAGAAAAAGGTGCACAAGCAGCAGGGATGACCGCAGCCTGGAGAGGATTGTCAGGAAAAGACCATTCAAACATGTTGGGGACTTTCACAAGGAGTGGACTGAGGCTGGAGTTAGTGCATCAAGAGCCACCACACACAGACGGATGCTGGAGATGGGCTTCAAATGTCGTATTCCTCTTGTCAAGCTGCTCCTGAACAAGAAACAATGTCAGAAGCGTCTTACCTGGGCTAAAGAAAAAAAGAACTGGTCTGTTGCTCAGTGGTCCCAGGTCCTCTTTTCTGATGAGAGCAACTTTTGCATCTCATTTGGAAACCAAGGACCCAGAGTCTGGAGGAAGAATGGGGAGGAACACAATGCCGGATGTTTGAAGTCCAGTGTGAAGTTTCCACAGTCTGTGTTGATTTGGGGAGCCATGTCATCAGCTGGTGTTGGTCCACTGTGCTTCATTAAGTCCAGGGTCAACGCAGCCGTCTACCAGGAGATTTTGGAGCACTTCATGCTTCCTTCCGCAGACAAACTTTATGGGGATACTGACTTCATTTTCCAGCAGGACTTGGCACCTGCCCACACTGCCAAAAGTACCAAAACCTGGTTCAATGCCCATGGGATTACTGTGCTTGATTGGCCAGCAAACTCGCCTGACCCGAACCCTATAGAGAATCTATGGGGCATTGCCAAGAGAAAGATGAGAGACATGAGACCGAGCAATGCAGAAGAGCTGAAGGCTGCTATTGAAGCATCCTGGTCTTCCATAATACCTCAGCAGTGCCACAGGCTGATAGCATCCATGCCACGCCGCACTGAGGGAGTAATTGATGCAAAAGGAGCCCAAACCAGGTACTGAGTACATATGCATGCTTCTACTTCTCAGAGGTCCAATATTGCTCTATTTGCAATCCTTGTTTTGCTGATTTGATTTAATATTCTAATTTTCTGAGATTGTTAATTTGGGGTTTTCATCAGCTATACACCATAATCATCACAATCATAACAAATAAAGGTTTGACATTTCTTGCTTTGCATGTCATGAGTCTATCTCATATATTAGTTTCACCCTTTAAGTCGAATTACTGAAATAAATGAACTTTTCCACGATATTCTAATTTTTTGAGTTTCACCTCACTGCCTCCTATTTTACTCTTTAACAGCTTGTACCATGTAGGACTTTTCTCCTGACTAAGCTCTGCTTCTGTTGGTTCTGGATCTGCCACCTGGACCCACGAAAAGCAGATCTGTAACATCTTCAGATAGAAGACAGTGATCATGTCTCCTCCTGATGTTCTTCCGTGCTAACATACCCAACCCTTTCAACCATTCTTCATAGTACTTGGTTTCTGAACCCTTTGCTATTTGGTCACCTTCCTCTTCTAGTCCAGCAGTGCCCTAATTAACATTAATTTGCAAAGCCCTTAACTACTTGGGTCCAGGGAACTTGAAGAAGCTATTGAAATTCATTT